TACCCACCCTCTGTCAATATACTGATCAAAGGGTCTTTGGGCTCATTTAAGTATTTAAAAAATTGCCATTTTTTATTCATTTAAAAAAAACAAGTGTATTTTGTGGAAAAGCAGTGAAAATGTGTAGTGTTTGGGTAAAAATTGCGCAATTGTTTAAAAAACATTAAAAACAAGAATTTTAATTCTTAATACACTTCTCATGTGTCTTTTTGACTTGCGCATAAATATTCAAATACTTAAAAATTAATAAATTCAAAAAAACCCTCACCAATTGCTCAAATTAGACTCAGGATCTGCAGGTAACACGTCACTAGCTCACTTTTACACTTTAATTCACTCACAACAATTACTGAAAATTAAAAAAAAAACATATATCTCAACAAAAAATACTAGAATTTACCCACCCTCTGTCAATATACTGATCAAAGGGTCTTTGGGCTCATTTAAGTATTTAAAAAATTGCCATTTTTTATTCATTTAAAAAAAAACAAGTGTATTTTGTGGAAAAGCAGTGAAAATGTGTAGTGTTTGGGTAAAAATTGCGCAATTGTTTAAAAAACATTAAAAACAAGAATTTTAATTCTTAATACACTTCTCATGTGTCTTTTTGACTTGCGCATAAATATTGAAATACTTAAAAATTAATAAATTCAAAAAACCCTCACCAATTGCTCCAATTAGACTCAGGACCTGCAGGTAACACTTCACTAGCGCACTTTTACACTTTAATTCGCTCACAATTACTGAAAATTAAAAAAACATCATTCTCAAAAAAAATTATACTAGAATTTACCCACCCTCTGTCAATATACTGATCAAAGGGTCTTTGGGCTCATTTAAGTATTTAAAAAATTGCCATTTTTTATTCATTTAAAAAAAAAAACAAGTGTATTTTGTGGAAAAGCAGTGAAAATGTGTAGTGTTTGGGTATAAATTGCGCAATTGTTTAAAAAACCTGAATTTTAATTCTTAATACACTTCTCATGTGTCTTTGACTTACTCATAAATATTGAAATACTTAAAAATTAATAAATTCAAAAAAACCCTCACCAATTGCTCCAATTAGACTCAGGATCTGCGCAGTTTAAAAAACATTAAAAACACACTTCAATTTAAATTCTTAATACACTTCTCATGTGTCTTTTTGACTTGCGCATAAATATTAAATACTTAAAAATTAATAAATTCAAAAAAACCCTCACCAATTGCTCAAATTAGACTCAGGATCTGCAGGTAACACGTCACTAGCGCACTTTTACACTTTAATTCACTCACACCAATTACTGAAAATTAAAAAAAAAACATATATCTCAACAAAAAATACTAGAATTTACCCACCCTCTGTCAATATACTGATCAAAGGGTCTTTGGGCTCATTTAAGTATTTAAAAAATTGCCATTTTTTATTCATTTAAAAAAAAACAAGTGTATTTTGTGGAAAAGCAGTGAAAATGTGTAGTGTTTGGGTAAAAATTGCGCAATTGTTTCAAAAACCTGAATTTTAATTCTTAATACACTTCTTATGTGTCTTTTTGATTTGCGCATAAATATTGAAATACTTAAAAATTAATAAATTCAAAAAACCCTCACCAATTGCTCCAATTAGACTCAGGATCTGCAGGTAACACTTCACTCGCGCATTTTTACAATGTAATTCACTCACCAATTCCTCCAATTAGGGTCAGGATCTATAGGTCACACTTCACTCGCGCACTTTCCCACTTTAAGTCACTACCAATTGCTCCAATTAGACTCAGGATCTGCAGGTAACACGTCACTAGCGCACTTTTACACTTTAATTCACTCACAACAATTACTGAAAATTTAAAAAAAACATATCTCAACACAAAATACTAGAATTTACCCACCCTCTGTCAATATACTGATCAAAGGGTCTTTGGGCTCATTTAAGTATTTAAAAAATTGCCATTTTTTATTCATTAAAAAAAAAACAAGTGTATTTTGTGGAAAAGCAGTGAAAATGTGTAGTGTTTGGGTAAAAATTGCGCAATTGTTTAAAAAACCTGAATTTTAATTCTTAATACACTTCTTATGTGTCTTTTTGATTTGCGCATAAATATTGAAATACTTAAAAATTAATAAATTCAAAAAACCCTCACCAATTCCTCCAATTAGGGTCAGGATCTATAGGTCACACTTCACTCGCGCACTTTCCCACTTTAAGTCACTACCAATTGCTCCAATTAGACTCAGGATCTGCAGGTAACACTTCACTCGCGCATTTTTACAATGTAATTCACTCACCAATTCCTCCAATTAGGGTCAGGATCTATAGGTCACACTTCACTCGCGCACTTTCCCACTTTAAGTCACCACCAATTGCTCCAATTAGGCTCAGGATCTGCAAGTAACAGGTCACTAGCGCACTTTTACACTTTAATTCACTCACAACAATTACTGAACATTAAAAAAAAACATATATCTCAACAAAAAATACTAGAATTTACCCACCCTCTGCCAATATACCGATCAAAGGGTCTTTGGGCTCATTTAAGTATTTAAAAAATTGCCATTTTTTATTTATTTAAAAAAAAACAAGTGTATTTTGTGGAAAAGCAATGAAAATGTGTAGTGTTTGGGTAAAAATTGCGCAATTGTTTCAAAAACCTGAATTTTAATTCTTAATACACTTCTCATGTGTCTTTTTGACTTGCACATAAATATTCAAATACTTAAAAATTAATAAATTCATAAAAACCCTCACCAATTGCTCCAATTAGACTCAGGATCTGCAGGTAACACTTCACTCGCGCACTTTTACAATGTAATTCACTCACCAATTCCTCCAATTAGGGTCAGGATCTATAGGTCACACTTCACTCGCGCACTTTCCCACTTTAAGTCACTACCAATTGCTCCAATTAGACTCAGGATCTGCAGGTAACACGTCACTAGCGCACTTTTACACTTTAATTCACTCACAACAATTACTGAAAATTAAAAAAAACATATATCTCAACAAAAAATACTAGAATTTACCCACCCTCTGTCAATATACTGATCAAAGGGTCCTTGGGCTCATTTAAGTATTTAAAAAATTGCCATTTTTTATTCATTTAAAAAAAACAAGTGTATTTTGTGGAAAAGCAGTGAAAATGTGTAGTGTTTGGGTAAAAATTGCGCAATTGTTTAAAAAACCTGAATTTTAATTCTTAATACACTTCTCATGTGTCTTTTTGACTTGCGCATAAATATTCAAATACTTAAAAATTAATAAATTCAAAAAACCCTCACCAATTGCTCCAATTAGACTCAGGGTCTGCAGGTAACACTTCACTCGCGCATTTTTACAATGTAATTCACTCACCAATTCCTCCAATTAGGGTCAGGATCTATAGGTCACACTTCACTCGCGCACTTTCCCACTTTAAGTCACCACCAATTGCTCCAATTAGGCTCAGGATCTGCAAGTAACAGGTCACTAGCGCACTTTTACACTTTAATTCACTCACAACAATTACTGAACATTAAAAAAAAACATATATCTCAACAAAAAATACTAGAATTTACCCACCCTCTGCCAATATACCGATCAAAGGGTCTTTGGGCTCATTTAAGTATTTAAAAAATTGCCATTTTTTATTTATTTAAAAAAAAACAAGTGTATTTTGTGGAAAAGCAATGAAAATGTGTAGTGTTTGGGTAAAAATTGCGCAATTGTTTCAAAAACCTGAATTTTAATTCTTAATACACTTCTCATGTGTCTTTTTGACTTGCACATAAATATTCAAATACTTAAAAATTAATAAATTCAAAAAACCCTCACCAATTCCTCCAATTAGGGTCAGGATCTGCAGGTAACACGTCACTAGCGCACTTTTACACTTTAATTCACTCACAACAATTACTGAAAATTAAAAAAAACATCTATCTCGACAAAAAATACTAGAATTTACCCACCCTCTGTCAATATACTGATCAAAGGGTCCTTGGGCTCATTTAATTATTTAAAAAATTACCATTTTTTATTCATTTAACAAAAAACAATTGTATTTTGTGGAAAAGCAGTGAAAATGTGTAGTGTTTGGGTAAAAATTGTGCAATTGTTTAAAAAACCTGTATTTTAATTTTTAAAACACTTCTCATGTGTCTTTTTGAGTTGCGCATAAATATTCAAAAACTTAAAAATTAATAAATTCAAAAAAACCCTCACCAATTCCTCCAATTAGGCTCAGGATCTGCAGGTAACATGTCACTAGCGCACTTTAATTCACTCACAACAATTACTGAAAATTTAAAAAAAACATATATCTCAACAAAGAATAATAGAATTTACCCCCCCTCTGTCAATACACTGATCAAAGAGTTGTGCTCAATGAAGTGTTTAAGGATACGTACTATTTTTTAATTACAGAACCTAGAAAAAATCCCTGTAGTTTACCCGCCTTTTGTCATTACATTGATCAAAGGGTTGTGCTCATTTAAGTACTTAAGAATGATTTACCTTTTTAATAAAAAAAATAAATCTAAATGGTTTTGGCGGATTCACAAATATGAATGTTGTCACAAGTAACCGGCACAAGGTGATTGATATCACCAAATTTTACAATAAGAAACATACTGAACCAGAAGCAAAAGTACTCACAGTTTGTGTTTTCAAAGTGTGGATGCCATCACCAGGCAGTCAATAAAATCGATAAGGTCCTGGCCCACAGAAACTTGTTCAGTCTTGATGCATCGCATCTGAAATTCAACGATAGTGTAACGTGAGGCGGCGCAGCTGCCTGTTCCAAATTAAACATTAAGGCATTAAAGAAGAAATGTTAGTAGCTCAAATGAATCATTTTAGACCTCCAGTTCATTGAATATATTCACATTGTTGATATAATTTAAGTAAATATTTATTTGACGAATGAGACTAATATTTTGGTCCAGCATTCTATATGTCGTAAATTCCTATTGGCCGTCGTGTTTTAGGTATTTTGACATGTTGTATGAATTAAGACTTGTATAAGTGATGGTAGTCATTAATCGGCTATGTTCACGGTTGTTCTTGTTTTACAAACAACTAATGTGGCTGTTGTATGTTGTGTTGTGTTGTGTTTAGATTTGGTAAGTTGAATATAAACGGAGAAATTTTGTAGGCATCACGTCGAATTTCCGTATATTGGGGTATAGCCAAATGGAGGAATATTGCAAATCGAGCACGTAGCGTAGTGCAATTAATCTATTCACGTGGAGATACAATGAGTCAGATTCCTATTTGGGAGGATTTTAAAAGAATCTCTTACCTAAGGATGTTATTTTAGTGACTGGGAGTAGAAAAATAAGGATTCGTTAAAGAGATCCAAACTGTAATAGGATTTGGTCAAATTGGAATCGTAGTAGCCAGTAGCCATTGTTTCTCTGAATACAAAATGTCTTCATATCAGATAAGTTTTACATTAATTATTAGGGGTTGATGGGATGGATTATAATTTATATTTTTGCAGTTCCATAACACGAGTTGTCAAATTAAAATCTACCTAACAAATTGGTAAAAGTATTAATTAACAGGTGAGCCTGTATCGTAAGATCTCTGCACGTAATCATTCGCTTACTGCTTTGCACTATGAAAGTTTAAGATAGCGAACAGTTTGAAACGACCATTACTATCATAATATACAGGTTAGATCAACCGAAAATATCCTTGGAAGTGTGAAATGCAAATCAATGCAGTTTATTGATTCTGATATTTTTGTAGTTCTTGGGATAATGTTAAACAATAAAGCTCTGAATTTGTTTATTGTTAACTTTGTTTAGGTTAAGGTCACATGAAACTCCAATTTTGGAGTGTTGTGTGACCCTAGCCTTATTAGTTTAATTGTGGCATATTCACAGCCAGCTTTGCATTGCTACCACAAAGACAATTTAATATACTAATCTTTTTAGATTAAAATGTACAGTGTTCCATTTAAAAAAATGAGGTTAGGTCACATCACTTTTTTACCTCATCCTGTATTCTTATTTTGTAAAATGAAAATTATTCAACAATTAGGTACATGGTGTAATAAACATTTTTCTGCAAGTATCTCTTTCAACTCGGAAAACATGATCATTCTGAAATTGCCGAAAAGAGCACATGGCGCCTATATTACTTTTTTGAGAGTCAAAATATTACGGAAGTACCCTGTCACAAGTGGGACACCCTGTACATTTTAGTAACATTTCCAAAAATTTGAAGATTTTCCAAAAATTTATCTCGAATGGAAAGTAAGAGGGCGGGAGGAAGCGGCACAGTCGCCTCAGGTATGTCTCCTATTGTATTAAAATAATGCAATAGGGGGCATAGCTTCGGCTTAGCCGCGTCGCCTCACCCTGTTACTTCAGCAAAGCTGCCGGAACGAAAGCGTCATCCCAAATGTATCAGGGCGAGGGGAAGCGGCGCAGCCGCCTTTATGTCCCCTATTGTATTAAAGAGAATACAATATGGGGCAGACCTTCGGCTATGGCGTCGCCTCGCCTCTCCGTATTATTATGGCAGGGCTGCCGAAACTGAAGCATTAACTCGGATGGGTAGTAATAGGGCGAGGCGAGGCGGCGCAGCCGCCGAAGCCGAAGCTATGTCCCTTATTGTATTAAAAAGAATGCAATAGGGGGCATAGCTTTGGCTTCGGCGGCCTCGCCTCGTCCTTTTACTTCAGTAAAGCTGCCAAAACTGAAGAATTATCTCAAATATAACAGACAGAGACGAAGCGGCGCGGGCCAAAGGCGAAAAGAATACAACACGGAACATGGCCAGGGCGGCTGTGTCGCCTAGCCTCGCTGTATTACTAGGATGGGTAGTAATAGGAGCGAGGCGAGACGGCGCAGCCGCCGAAGCCGAGTCACCTATTGTATTAAAAAGAATGGAATAGGGGCGCGCCGCCTCGCCTCATCACTTCCTACTTAAGCGGCATCTCAAATGTAACAGCGCGAGGAGAATTGGCGCAGCCGCCGAAGCGGAGGGAATGTCCAGTATTCGGAACATACCTTCGGCCACGGCGGTTGTGTCGCCTCGCGGCGCCGGCTTACTACGGCAAGGCTGCCGAATTTCAACTGTTACTCGGATGGGTAGCAATAGGGTGAGGCGAGGCGGCGCAGCCGCCGAAGCCAAAGCTATGTCCCCTGTTGTATTATTAAAAATAATACAATAGAGGGCCCCAACAATCACAAAGAAACTAATGCAACAAACATGTCATTCTGAAATTGACAATTTTTTTTCTCCCCGTATTTCTTAAGCGAGGGAATGTTTTCAAATTTTAACCATTTTAAGATTGACCCAAGAAGAGCACACGACGCCTATATTACTTTTTTGATAGCACTTACAATTACGGAAGTATCCTATAAAAGGGTCGAAAATGGCACACCCTGTACACTTTTTTAACGTTTCCAAAAACTTGAAGATTTCTTACTTATTTCCGAAAAATCAAATTTGAAAATATTCGCTCAATTAAGAGATACGGGGGAAAATTTAAAAAAATGAAACTAGAGTGATCCTATAATTTCTTGGTTATAGCATACTAAATTCTCTTTCCAAAGATATAACAAAAAATGCAATATTGATTCAAAAAAGTTTTAAAAAAATTGAAAAATTTTCTTGAAATTTTTTTTTAATCCTTTGTGTCTTATGTTTTAGAAAAGAGAATTTAATATAGGTACTATGTTCTTAGATTCATATATACAGGGTGTCGCTCCCGTATCTCGCAAGCGAGCGCATATTTTTTTAAAATTTTGAATTTACCATTTTAAGTTTGACCTAAAAGCCTACATTACTTTTTTGATAGCACTAACAATGACGGTAGTACCCTATAAAAGTGTCGAAAATCGGACACCCAGTACACTTTTGGAATAGCTATCATGATCAATGATTTTAAAAAAGTCATGCACTCTAAAATGGTTGTAATGGATTTTGGTATATTTTTTAGTTTGTTGAAATTTCGACATTTGATTGGTGAAGAGCATTTCAGAAATCTACCAACATGTTTTTTTAAAACAATTGAAATATTTTTTTACATTTTTTAGAATATCTCAACAATTTTTGGAATATGGAACACCCTGTACACTTTTTTAACGTTTCCAAAAACTTGAAGATTTCTTACTTATTTCCGAAAAACCAAATTTGAAAATATCCGTTCAATTAAGAGATATGGGGGAAAATTTAAAAAAATGAAACTTTAGAGTGATCCTATAATTTCTTGGTTTTAGTATATTAAATTCTCTTTTCAAAGATATAACAAAAAAATTCAATATTGATTCAAAAAAGTTTTAAAAAAATTCAAAAATTTTCTTGAAATTTTTTTATATATTTTTTTAAATCCTTTGTGTCTTATGTTTTAGAAAAGAGAATTTAATATACTATGTTCTTAGATTCAGATATACAGGGTGTCGCTCCCGTATCTCGCAAGCGAGCACATATTTTTTTAAAATTTTGAATTTACCATTTTAAGTTTAGTACTAACAATGACGGTAGTACCCTATAAAAGTGTCGAAAATTGGACACCCAGTACACTTTTGGAATAGCTATCATGATCAATGATTTTAAAAAAGTCATGCACTCTAAAATGGTTGTAATGGATTTTGGTATATTTTTTAGTTTGTTGAAATTTCGACATTTGATTGGTGAAGAGCATTTCAGAAATCTACCAACATGTTTTTTAAAACAATTCAAAGATTTTTTATATATTTTTTAGAATATCTCAACAATTTTTGGAGTATTTTTGTAATATTTTAAAAAATTTTGTATTGTCGACACAAATCCAAATCCACTAGGGGTCTAGGTCTCACACTGGTAGCTACGGGACTGGGTGGGTATAAAAAGTGACTATATAGTTTAACTTACACCATAGAAACTGAAATAGTTATTAAAGAACTGCTTTAAAACTTCACGAAAAAACCTTGTACAATTTGTTTATTTTATTTTATGTTGTTAGGTACCTACCTACTACAAGGATAATACAGGACGGGGGAGGGGTGCACACAAATTATTGTATTAAAAACAGAGCTGGCGTATTAGGAGGTCAAAGACATAGAGGCGTTGTCCATTTAGTCGTCGAGTGACAAATAGTAAAGAGACGCAACTATAATGTAAAATTGCGGTACACATTCCCCATCACACTGACCGTCCACAGTAGGAGTGGTGTGACCGTGGTAGACGTGCGACTCTGGTGCTTAAAATCGCTCAATAACACGAAAGATAACGGGGATCAAAAATGAGTTGCTGCGAGTCACCGTTGGAAGTTCAAGTTAAGTACGATTTCCTATGTAAACAAAAATTCTAAAGGTGACTCGACAGCAATTCAGTTTTGATCGCACAGTAGGTAGTATAATCGTTTGGTGCCGATTGAGTTAGGTACGATCACAATGCACAACCGGCATCATAATTTGCACTTCATAAGTAGATCACCTTGTTGTACGAAAAGAGGGGGGTGGGATACATGCTCGCACAGCTTAGTATCGGGCGATCAAAAATGCGTTGCTCTCAAGTTGCCTTTGGAAGTTCAAGTGAAGTACGAAATCTCATTTAAACAAAATTTCCAAAGGTGACTCGCCGATGACTCATTTTTGATAGCAAGCGCCTACTACGTTAATATTTCATGAGTTTTTTTTGTTACAGACTCGCCGAATTCAAACACGCTTGGAACACGTTTAGGGAGTTGTTTTTTACAGAATGGATGCAATAGAATGAATTACGTACCTCTTTTTGATGGAGTGGAGCTCCCAAACAGGCACTCTCTTCTTCAAAAACTTTGCAAGAGAGCTTGGTTGTAAGGGCTTTGTTGCCAAGTGGATTTGCTACATTTGAACTACTCATCGTTAATATTTTAATGTTTTTAGCAATTGAATTTTGTAAACTGGCACGGGATTAACGCGTTATCACTAATTAGAATGCTCTGCAAGAATATTTGCGCCGGCTTTCAAGTGGAGGGCCCTTTCGTGTCGTAACTACTGCGCTCCGTTTCATGCATGCGCAGATTCAAAGAGAGCCGAGACGTTTAAGGTTTCGGTTACAGAGTTGATTGTTGTTAATGAGAGATAAACAAAATGAAATGGATTACCTACCTTTAAAATGCGATGAGGCGCTTTATCTGGCACTTACAGTTGCAGTTTGAACAGCTTGAAACGCAACCGCCATTTTTGTAGAAAAAGATATCTTGGACGCTGTTGCCAAGTCTAACTTTTGGCTGCATTTTATACTGCGTGCTCAATTTTTGATATGCTTCTCTTAAAGACCTTTGTCAATTAATGTTACCGCTGACTAACCAGATCCACTGCATGCGCCATAAAACTTGGGCACCGGACCAAAGTGGACAGGCAGAATACTGAAGAATTTTTTTCTTTTGGCGACTCTTTAAGTGCAGTAAAAATTCTTGCAGCCCGTAAAAGCCTCTTCTGGGATTGGTAAGGGCTCTCTTAAAGACTTCACAGCAATGCTTTTAAAAATCCTTAATTCGCTCTAAGAGTGTTGAAGAACCTTTACGAGACCTTAATATGGGCTACCAAGAACCACAAAGTCTTGAAGAGTAATGGAATTTGATGCTACACGGTCGTTATACAAAGTACAAACGTTTATAGTTTTATCCTGTATAATCTGTTACGTTTTTCTGTGTAATAAAAATTATTGTTATCCTCATGCCTGAGGAGTTTGCTTTAAATTAAGAGCAGCCTGTAGTCTTCTTTTTAGAGCCTTTGATGAATTTATTAGGTCCTTTAAAGTCTGTTTTTATTTGTAATCACTAATGTCTGATGGTTTTCATTGGTCTTATCCAAGTGGAATATTCAATATCCGAATTTTGGAAAGGTCTATGACCTTTTACTGCACTTGAGGATGTCTCCAATATCTATAAATGCTTCTAAAAAAGCCTCTAAAAGGAAGGTGAAATAAATTCTCTAGGGACTTTTGGGGAATCAAAGGGGCTCGATTATTAAATACTCTTATAGGACCTTCTAGATTCGGATATTGAAATACTCTCGTAGATTACCTATTAAGTGTTGTTGATGGATCTTCTTCTAAATACTCTAAAGCGTGCTCCAAGGAATGTCGAGAACTTTTAGGAGATTGCTAACTAAAATAGCTGTATAAGACCCATGAAAACTTGTCAAAGTCTTTCGAGACTAGCTATGGTTCATAAATCGTATAAATACCTTTAGCGAGATCGTATATATCTTGTAGGTCTTTATGAACTCTATCAGTTGTTTGGATCCTCCACAGGTAGGGAATGATAGAAAGGCTTGGGAGGGAACTGGATTGGTCTTCTAGTACGGGAAGGTGTGAGGGGAATAAGATTCGCAAGAAAGGTGCGAAACACTTTTTCGGGGCGTTTATAAGGCTTTCCTGGAGCTGAGTGGCTGAATTGATTATAAATCTTGCAAAAACCTAGATTTCTACTTGAGCTCTTTGAGGAGTATCCACTTCCGACATTCTCTAAGATGCATCATATTTCCGTTACTATATAGTATGGAATACCCCCAGCCAACGATAGAACCGAGGACTATTTCCGAAAAATTATGGAAATGGTAATGGAACTGTTGTTTACTGGGGGGGTATCGAATACCCCCCGGCAACACCTTTAAAAACCGTTTAGGATTCAGGTCTCATAACAAATGTTAGGGAAGGATTACGAGATCCTCTTCGGCCGTTTCCATGGGCATTTAAGTAAACGCGTTTATGCTGTGAATTAAACACCCTAAAAAACTATTAAATCCTCATAAACTTACAAAGGGATTTATAATACCGCTCAAGACTTATTTGGAATCTTGGCTCCAAAGTTCAGACCGTTTAACTTTTAAAGTATTTTCTTCCAGCTTCTTGCATTCGGTGGTGCAAGATATGATCTTTATCTACCTAAACAATGATAAAAAATTGAAAAGTGTCCACAGGCTTTTCGTGGATGTCCCCGAAGTGAATTGCAAACATTTTTAATTACCATGTACATTTTGAACGTATCAAATTAGTTCAAATGCGCACTACGTAGTTCCAATGCATCGCGCGTTTGTGCCCGGTTGTTTACTTTTCTAACCTAACTTTTATTTGAAAATGTTAGCCATATAAAATCATCAAATAAGCCTGACAATTTACTTGTCATCCTTTCTTTTAATGACCACTTATCTAACAAGTAATGGTATGTGATATTTAAGAGCTGTCACTGATAGTTTCGTTGTAGATTTGGCAGAAGAATGATTTCGTGCGTCCGATGACATTCCACTCAATCCATTACACCTTCTCATTCTTAGACGTTGATTTCCCGGGTATTAGTACTCCCAGAGGTTTACACAGCACGTATGTATAAACTACGATTGATAGTTTCTTGGTGGATATCATCCCATAACGCCCATTGGTACTAATAAGGTATTTCTGAATTATGTGTGCTCATGGGTACGTAAATCCCATGCATTTTGATTGTCATATTATTGAGGTATAGTGTTTCAAAAGGCAGGCTCGATGTTTGTATCTGTGCGGGTTTTATAGGCTCGTTTTATGCTAAGATGTATTTGGGTCGTTTTACCCCTCGCTGTCGGGCAGTACTTTAGTACACAATGCATTCTTAATTGTATTTTTTACGTCATTTGATCGAGGTGAAAATGTACTTGTCCTGTTTACGTAGATTTGCACTTAATAATAATAATAGCTTAAGATCAACAAATACACATAAACACGGTAGGTAGATTGTCGATTATCCGGATTAATTGGGTCCACAGGTAAGTAGATGCAATTACTTAATTTACAGAAAAATAATTAGTTATTATTGATAATTAACTATATCCCAAGTGTTGTCCCCTCTAGAGTTAGTAGCGAACATTTTCTGAGTACCGTTCTCGAAATCATGTTTGTTTGTTATACTGTTCCTACAGGTGATTGTCCCTTTATATTGTTTATTAAGTATTTATTTATTTACGTATTCACGATACAAGTTAACTCGCAAGTTAATTATCAGTATGTTGTTGTTCTGTACTATTCCTTTGAGCGAGTACCGCATATGCAGGTCGATTCCCCGCTGCATATGTTGCTCCTGCATCTCATAAGGACTGCAGCTCTTGTGCCTTAGCATATACGAGAAGAGGGGTCTTCTAATTTGATGTTTGTCTGTATGAGTCGTTTGCATATTTTGCTCTTATGCCTTTTGTTGCAGTTGATTAATTTTTTTTGTATTTGTGTATGTTATGCCAGGTTTTTAGTCTAACAAAGAAGGCTTTTTCCTGGCTTATTGTATGCCTAATATATTTTACATGTTCTCGCCTTTTCTTGCACTCAAGATGCTGCATTTTATTCAATTCCCGTCCCGAATATATCAAACGTCCCAATACAACGCTTATATTCTATTCTAAATAAGGTAGGTAACTTATCTGTGCATAAAAAATATATTATTATTATATTATTTTTCTCCAGAGTTGCCAACTGTTGTAAGTACAGTAGAGTCTCGTTAATCCGAGGTAATTAGGGTTGGTGGTACCTCGGATTTCGAAAAACTATGTTTACACGGACAAATAAAAAAACCAAACTATGATTAATTTATCTTTAGACGTACTATTCAATAGGAAAACAGTTTTCCACTACTTGGTATGGAAAAAAGTGTGGACTTAAGTCATTAATAAACTCACTTATGATTACACTTTTTCTGCAATTGTACACTTTGATTTTCTAATACTAACTTTCCACTCGGACCCTTGGACCTTACAATGTTGGGCAGCGGGCATCTATGAAAATTGTATGGAGATTAGATGCATTTTTGGAAGGTCTGAAACTAAGCTTTTTTCAAAATTATCTTTTTAAGAACCTGACTTCTTGAAAAAAAATGCCGTGGACTTTAGAATGTTGCGTAAACAAAATCACATTAGGTTTTCTATATTTACATCACGGACTTGGACTTTTTGACACCAAATTGAGGATATTCGCCCCTAAAGTTATTCTTTTAAAACTTTGGTACATTCTCCTGTTTTATAATAATAATAATAATTTATAGCATGTTATTGTGGCAAGGCACTTACATTTGTTTAATGACGGTTGGAATACATTATATATATAGTCGAAATTTTTATTTAGTCCATAACTTTTGATTGAGAGGTCTGATCGAAAAAGTACGAATCGTTTTGGATTCTACGCACCAAAATTAATAAGAAAAAGTGTTTTCCCGAGAAATTTTGGTGCAGTCGATTTTTGGTAAAAAAGGAAGGTTATACTGCCTTTTTTTGAGCCCGAAAAAAAAATTGTCTCAGATCGACCGGAAAAAAACATTTTCTTATAGAATGTGGCCTGTAGAATCCATAATTTCAAACAGTTCCAAGATTGGGCTACTAGTTCAAAAGTTACAGCCCTTTGAATTTTTTTTCGAAATTGGTTTCTAGTCTATAACTTTTGATTGAGAAGTCTGATCGAAAAAGTACGAATTGATTTGGATTCTACGCACCCAAATTAATAAGAAAAAGTGTTTTCCCGAGAAATTTTGTTGTAGTCGATTTTTGGTAAAAAAAAGGAAGGTTATACACTGCCTTTTTTTGAGCCCCGAAAAAAAAATTGTCTCAGATCGACCGAGAAAAAACATTTTCTTATAGAGTTTGGCCGTAGAATCCATAATTTCAAACAGTTCCAAGATTGGGCTACTAGTTCAAAAGTTACAGCCCTTTGAATTTTCTTTCGAAATTGGTTTCTAGTCTATAACTTTTGATTGAGAAGTCTGATCGAAAAAGTACGAATTGATTTGGATTCTACGCACCCAAATTAATAAGAAAAAGTGTTTTCCCGAGAAATTTTGTTGTAGTCGATTTTTGGTAAAAAAGGAAGGTTATACACTGCCTTTTTTTGAGCCCCGAAAAAAAAATTGTCTGAGATCGACCGAGAAAAAACACTTTCTTATAGAGTTTGGCCCGTAGAATCCACAATTTCAAACAGCCCCGAAAAAAAAATTGTCTGAGATCGACCGAGAAAAAACACTTTCTTATAGAGTTTGGCCCGTAGAATCCATAATTTCAAACAGTTCCAAGATTGGACTGTATATACAATATATTATATTTTGTATATTATATATATATTTGGTGGGTATGGAATCCCCCCCCCCCCGGATATGAAAATTTTGTTGACCATCTCGGGAAAATTATGTTACAGCGGTGGGGATCCTGGGGACTCGCTTGAGGGTTGTTGGGGGAAGGTTTATCAGATCCTTTCCTCCGTACTATAGGCAACGCAGCACGGCCGGGGGGGGGGGGTGATTCTATCAACAGACGCCGATCTGGTGGTATTCTCTGTAGATGGAAATGATGGCTGCTGTCTACCCCCAGACCCTTCGGTACACCTTCTACAAACGGTTTAGTCTTCAGGACTCGCTTAAGGGGTTATTGCGGAGGGTTTATCAGATCCTTTCATCCGTACTGCCGGGAACGTTGCACAGGGGGTCTGGGAGGTATTCGACGAAAATGTCGGTGGTCATTTCGGGAAAATGATGTTAAAGCGACGGGGGCTGAAAGAAGTAGTCGATAATCCTTCCCTTATAAAAGAAATTGCAATGAAGGTGGTGTCTGCGGTGGGGGAGTATCCCATACCTCCTGACCCCCCCCCCTCCCCCCGACCTTCTGCAAACCGTTGTCTTCAGGGCTGAAGGATTTGTTGGTGCGGGGGGGGGGGGGTATCATATCTTTTCCTCCGTACTACAGTGAAAGTAGCACGGGGGAGGGGGCAGAGGCCAAAAATCGTAATAAAATGCTAGGAATTGTCATTTATTTGTGCATTTTACAACTAAAAAATTATCTTAACCCACTAAATTAAATTACAGATCGTTTGGCTTTTATTTAGTACATTTCAGTTCGTTTCTCGCGCGTGTATCACAAAAGCACCCGTCGGCGTTCGTCCGATACATCTCAGATTAAGAACTAACTATTCCCGTTAGGTAACAAAAATACTGTACATCACTGGTCGCGAACTTCCCATCTCTCCCCGAATCTAGGAGTACCAACTGTAGAAGGGCTGGTGGGTGAAGCTCTTCGCGTTGTGCGGCGTGTAGCCGGCGGCGGGATGCAGGCCGTTGGCGCCGAACCCCTGGGAGGGTACGCCGAGCGGCTGTCCCAAAGTGAGGACCTGGTCGACGGAGGTGGCGTTGGGCGTGATCCAGTCGCCTCGGCAGGGCGAGTCGTTACCGTTCGGAGATACTGCAATGAGCGCTTAGCGCTGTTTCTTGGAGATCGGAGGCACTTACCTGCTGTGGCGGCGCTGAGTAAGTTGAGGTTGTTGTTCGTCGTGTAGGGGGCGTCGTCCTTGAAAACTCCGTTTTGGTTCAGGTCGTTAGCGTGCGGCATCAGGGAGGGAGGCGAGTAGAGTGGCTGCGTGGGGTACGGCGCGTGTGACTGTGTCGTCAGCGGGAGGTTGGGGGAGGCGTGGCCGTGGGAGTACAGCTCAGTCACTGCAATTAGATTATTAGTCTCCCGACAGATGGCGTTGGCATCGACTTACTTTGGTTAGGTGCCACCGGAGCAGTCGAGAAGGTGGCCTCACTAACCGAGTATGGGGAGGAGGTCGCAGTGTATGGGTTGCTCAGGGGCGCGTAGGAACCCGAGGAGGATGTCGACGCCAGCTGTTTGCGCAACCTCGCCCTTCGATTGCTGAACCACACCTGTATCCTCGCCTCGGTCAGCTTGGTGCGCTGGGCGAGCTCCTCGCGCGTGTAAATGTCCGGGTACTGGGTGCGCTCAAAGGCCTTCTCCAGCTCGTCCAGCTGATGCGCCGTGAAGGTTGTCCGCGACCGTCTCTGTTTCCGCTTTAACGGTATTCCGGGCTCGCTTTCGCAATCGGATCCGTTCTCGTTATCGGTCGACTTATCTGGAACCAATTATTTTTTTTATTGCGAAAGTAATTTACGCCGTGAAAATTTGGCGAATGTATCAAATTTCTACGCGGCGACAACAAAGGGAGCGCTAATAGATTCGACATGACGTAACAAGTTTGTGCTTTAAATTACGAAAGAATGTACAGTTGACAGCCGACCAAAAAAATTCATCAACAACGTGCCTTCCGAGCCTTGACCGCATCTATTTCATTCTATTTATACAAGACATACACAATATCCGCACCCAATTACAGGAGTTTACAAGTCGTCCAAATTCACCGAAATAAACTGATTATCTCTTTCCTTCTCTATTTCTGCGCTCCTGACACGTCTAATAAGGTTACTCCTGGTACACTATTAAAAACGGATCCCAGAAAATCCTCAACACTGGTGTATTGTGTTCTTACATTAGTTTCTCTTTTATAGGTGTCAGGATCACAGAAGAGTAAGGACGCGTATTATCAGATAAATATGTTTTCTTTACACAAATTCCTCATTTTATTGTATGAGGATTTCAGAAGCGTCAGAAAAGGAAACACCTGGTCCCTGATCATGTTCTCCTGATCCAGTTTCTCTATTACATATCATTTGAACAGCATAAAAGACACGTGAAAAAGTGTACAATTTACAAATAATGGTCAATAATTGACCCTCCCGTATTATGTTCTCCTTACACAGATTTCCCTTTTATAAATTGTAGCATCAGGATCAGAGAAACATAAAAATGTGTACAATTTATTGACGTCTTTGGTAAACGTCTCTCTTATACGTACTTGTATTAGGATCTTAGAAGGGAAGATTGATGGATCGTTCGAATTTCTTTTTTATAGATTATTGTATCAGCATAATCCCCTTTCTATCAGGACTACAGAGCAAGTGTTGTTTAGAAAGTTGTATCAGAATCAGACAAAAAATACCTAATTCTCTGACAACTTACTCGCTTATTATGTTGTCCTAGTGCAAATTTTTGTATCAAGGTCACATAAACGTAAAAATGTGTCAAATTGTCAATTGTAACCAGACTTACAATTTATTGGTGGACATTCCCTGACGTATTACGGTCTCTCTTTATCCTAGTTTCTCATATATTGCTGTATCAGGAACACAGCAGCGCATGGAAGGGAAACATGAATTGGCAGGTAACTCTGTTACTCCTGATACAATCAGCCAGTTTCTGGACATCGAGTTCCGTTGTAATTATCAAAGTTGATCTTATTGTAATATGCATTTCACCTCTCGATTTTTGTATGGTATCAACGAGTATGAAGATTTAATAAATATTGTCCCATTTTTATGTTTGTAGTTCCTAATAAAATTGAGAAGTTTTTGGTGATCGAACTAATAAAAATTACTTGTGTGTAACGCGTTTCTATTTTCTGATACAAATAACTAGTTTTCTGGTGGTCCATGAAAACAGGGCGCAATGTGTGTGGTATTAGGCGGTTATGACGGTTTTGGAGGTATCTTAATTTTTTATTTTTTATTTTGTTTAATAATTTTTTTGTTTCTAGATGCGTTTTTCTATAGGGAGTGGGGAATGTTTACTGTGCCCCATCATCTTGGTGGTTTTTTTCTGCATCCCTGATACAATCGAAGGACTTTAAGGTGGGGGAGGCGGTAGGTTAGTGGTATGGAAACTAGGTAGCTTACAAACACGAAGGTTCCGAGTTCGATTCCCCGGCCCGTCAACAAACAGCCTTCGGCGTTTTTCGTTTTGGGGGTCGACTCAGCCTCGTTAAAAATGAGCACGTGGGGCAATAATAGGCGGTTTTGGAGCGTATAGTGCTTGCCCTGGAATTCACGTCGTCAGACGTTCTAATGCGGGGCTATTATTATTATTATTAAGATCTTCAAAAATTAATATGAATGTACTGAAGGCACTAAACAGGAGATTCCAGATTTTGTTCCTGAGGGTATTCCATACCTCCCAGCTCTCCCGAAAATGTTAAAAAACATTAGCTAATAATCAGATAATAATTTATCAGAAAGAGCAATCCCCTCCCCCTCCCATGAATGCCCACAATAACACTACAATAATATGACCATTCTCGAGAGAGGTTTATCGAATCTTTTATTCTAAAATCTTCGCTGAACGTTTTGGAAGATGGGAAAAAAAACCGGGGGCCCCGGGGGTTTTGAAAAACCCCCCCCCCCCCCGGAACATATTTCAAGTATGAAAGATCTTAGAAAATTAGTATTAGTGTTCTAAAGGCTACCCCCAGATCCTCCGGTGTTACGCTCTCCCCCACAATGTTAAAAAATCACTCTTATCAGGGCGTCATCGAATTTTCTTTTTCTTTGGAAGGTGTTCCATACCACCCCTCCCCTTTTCCATTAATGTCTACCACAAAGATTTGCTACATTGTAATGACGATTCTTCCTCCAAAAAGTAAAAAAAAACTTTAGCATTCTTATACTCATGTATGAGGGAGAGCAATCTATTTTTTTAAACGGTATCCCCCCCCCCCCATGAATTCGCGTTTTAAGTATGATAGATATTCGAAAATTAGTATTAGTGTTCTGTAGGCTTTAAACGGGAGACTCTTCTTCCTGTGATTGCTTCCTGTGCCCCCCCCCCCCCCGGTGCCATACTGTCCCCCAAAAAGGTCAAAATCTTGAGCAATTATTATCACTTATCTGGGAGAACTACTGATTTTTTTCCTGGAAGGTATAACATTTGAGCTTCTCTCTTCGGATATCAAATAATTCATTTTGATGTAGGTGTGTAAAATTGGGGGGAAATTGTCTTGTCAGTCGATAATGAAGGTTGAGCAAGTATCTATCAAATCTGTCTGTCTTTTTCTTCCTTTTAGCGTAATAATTATGTTTTTTTTGTATGCGGTTTGGTATACAAGCGTTTATCCACGTGCTGTCGATTATTATTACATGCGCTCCTGGTACAATCGGCAAATAAAGTTGATCTGATTGTAATACGCATTTTATCTCTTTATATTTCAAATCTTCCGATGCAAAAATCTCGTTTTTTGTATGTCGTGGAATCAGGTTTTGTTAGTATCTGTTAAATCTACAATCAGAGGTTTTGTTCTTAGTCACGTTTTGTTTTAAAGAGACACGAATGCGTCTGCGCTCCTGATACAATCGAAAAAATCACGTACATCAAACTGGGTTGATCTGATTGTACATACATTTCGAGTCCCGATTTCGTGTCTTCTGTTACAAACAATTCATGTTTATGAAGATGTGTGGGATCAGGAGTCGATGTGTCTGGTATCGGGCGAGGGCCAAACCTGTCTTTTGCACGTTAATTTGTCCGTAATAATAAATAATTTGTTTTTGGATGGGTTTTTTCACGCACTCATTGTTCTCTGCCCTCCTGATACAATGGACTTTGGTGTGAATAAGATAATCTGTGGTACTCCTGATGCAAATAACAGTCTTTCTGGATGTATGTGCTATCAGGAGTAAATGCGTGTGTTCTATTCATTAATTAATTTGTTGTTGTACAACTTGTGGTATAAAGAGACGCGAATGGCGATCGTTTATGCACATACCTACCTTTACTGATTGTTTTTCTATGCGCTCCTAATAACATCTGGAAACTTTTCGTCATGAATTCACGATTGGAACTTTAAAATTTAAAAATGTATAGGGATTGCAGAACTGAGGGATTATATATGTTTGCGGTTTTCTTATTTCCCAACCCTTTCCTGCAGGTGCTGTTACGTATATTAGGAGAGCATAATTGAGGGAGTGGCAGGTTTAATGAGAATTTTTGCCACTTTAACCCTTACACTATTGGCACACCAAAATATTAGGAGACCATAATCATATCATAATTATTTCTTTCCTCGATGTCGTTCTTTTTCACTCCTGCTTTCGTGTTGTACTTAGATATCAGGAGACTATAATCATTTCTTGTCGCATTTTGTATTAGGAGAGTAGGTATTTTCTCTTGCTCCTTACATTTAGGTACTTATATGCTCCTGATACAATCCAGAAGTTTTCGATTTACTTAGTAAAGATAATCAGGACGTGCGATTGTAAAGTAAATACAGTACAGGTAAGTAGGTATAAACACGAGTCGATTTCCATGGTTCATTGTTTGGAACAATGACTCCGTCTAAAAATTGAATTAAAAAGGTGTAAACGAAACGAAGCGTGTCCGAATCGGTAGCAATGGCTGCGAAAGTACATTAATAAACGTCGTTAGAAGATTGAAAACGATAGGGTTTACGAGGGGGAGATCGGAGGAGGCCAGAAGACTAATTCATTAAACCGCGTCCGCATATGTTTTATTAGCATAGAAAATTACGAAATTTCTGTTGTTGAAAGTAATCGACGCCATTAAACATCCGGCGTATGGGTGAGTAACGATCGCGGAATCTACTTTTATATTGATTAACTTTTCAATTTTTCATTTGGCAATTTTATTGGGCAATAAATAACGTTGAACCGTTTCATGTACGTTTTACAGTTAACTTCGAGCGATTGTTCTGGAAATGACTTCCTTGATAAGGCTAATTGAGTTTAGTTTGCACAATGTACTACATGACTCAGACAAGGTCGGCCGATTAGGTTTTAAGTGAATCAAAACGCGCCCGCCATTTTATGCGCGGCGGCCATCTTAAATAACTGTCTCGTTACAAAATTCCAAGTGCGTAAACGTCCGCACTCAATCATGAAGTAGGTACCTAGTGGTAATTGCGGGTAGAAAGGAAGGAGATGCCGTACGGTTACTTTTGGGAGCTTTGCGAAGGTTCTTTTTTTCAGTTGCACGGACCTACTTAATTTAGGTAAGCAAGTAGGCAATTTCCGTATCTTTTAGGCTATTTTTTTTAAGAAATAGGAATAGCGTTCATGCGAAAAGAGCAAAGTTGTGACTGGCATCAGGCTCTCACTGTACAATCTCTTGTACAGTAAAACGCATCACTAAATTCACCTAATGCTATTTCTGGCAAGTTAAAAAAACGGCTCAATGTTGGTCATTCGCCAGGAATTTCAATATTCGAAGGCGCACTAAAAAGAAAAATTA